TGAGGGCTTCTGGCTGGGCAGTGCTGGCCACTCCTGGGAGGTTGTGGTCAGCCAGTTAATTGTATAAAAGCAGACAGTGCTTTCTTGGAGGGAGCTAGCTTCACACCAAGGACAACATTGCCTTTGGCGGGGATGCCTGCCAGTTTGTGAACTTACTGACTTTCCAAGGATGCAGCTTCTGCTATGGGTAATTATAGGCATGCTAGGTCGGTAAGATAACTTTATGGGCAACAGCTGGGTACTTGGGGAGGTCGTGCTGGGGGCTTATTTCTCTCCCCCTTCCTCCCTTTTGGGTTTGTTAGTTTTGTTGGCCACCTCTTGGTAACAAATATTGGTTTTTGTTAAGCTTTTAACAGTGTCATGGTTTCAAGATTCGATATGTTTCGAACTCTCCCTAATACAGGCTGCCTCCATGTGTGGGCCCTTTTGGGGTCATGCTGGCGCTCTGGGTAGGTGTGTTGCCCTTTAGGGACCCAAACAGCCATACTCCACTCCTCTCACCAAGTGTGGGAGGTGCTGATTGTTTCCTGTAGCTCTGTCCCTTCCTGCCACATCCCTTCCCTGGCTTTGCTCCTGGTGTCATCACTGAGTTTTTGGCTCATCCTCATGAGTGCATATTGTGTCCCTGTAGCCACCCCGGGCTCCCTGGGGGGGCCCTGGAGCCTGGAGCAGGCTGAGGAGCTGCCCTGCCCCGGCCTGGGAGAGGGGTCCGTGCTGCCCCTGTGGCCTTTAAGCTTTGCCTCAAACATTGACTCCCAACTCTGTGCTGAGTTGGGCGAGTTCAAAACAGCCCCAGAACCAGAGATGTTTAATCACCAGGTTAATTTGAAAAATATTTTTCCTTTGAAAAGTCGAAAGCAAAGAAAAAACAGTCAGAACACCAGAGATTTCCAACAGGAGGATGATCCGAGGCATCCAAGTGCCCTGCAGAGGAGACGCTACAACCCGGCCGGTTTCCTGAGTGCCCACCAGCAGCAGCGGCCCAGGTGGGCGAGGAAGAAGATGCCGGTGATGATGGCGAAGCTGATGCCCACGGCCCTCATGATGAAGATGGACTTGGGGCCACGCTGGTGCTGAGCCGGGAAGGTGACGCTGAGCCAGAATCCCGCCATCATCTCGCTGTCCCTCCAGCAGAAGTAGGTGCCCCTGTCGTTCCTGCGCACCCGCAGGATGTGCAGGTGGTTCCCATGGTCGATGAAGACCCTCATGCCCTTCCCAACACCCATGAGGTACTGGGAGCAGTAGAGCCGGACCGAGTCCTTGTCCCAGCCCATGGTGTGCTCCAGGCGGGCCCCTGGGCACGTGATCACCAGGTCAGTTTGGGATGGGGACATGGGCTTCTCCCCAAACTTGTAGATGATGTTGGAGATGGACTGGACTCCCTCCTCGGGCGCCTCCTTGGGCGGGCACAGCGCCAAGCAGCTCTGGACGGCCACCTCAGGGCTGCAGAGGTGCAGGAGGCACGGGAAGCGCCCTTCCTTGTTGCTGCACAGGTAGTGCCCAGAATCCCTCACCTGGGCCCGGAACATGATGAGGCTGAACATGCGGATGCTGAAGCGCTTCAGCAGGTCGCTGCCTGCGTGGACGTCGCTGGAGTCGAGCACCATGGTGCCATTGAAGTCCGTCAGCACCATGGTCTCACGGCCGTGCAGGTTCTTCTGGAAGTACCAGACGACAGAAGAGACCTCCTCAGGCTTGCACTTGCAGGGCAGCCTGAAGGTCATGTCTGCCAAGTAGGCGGCGTTCTCAAATGTCAGGAAGGCGAGACATGCCATCTTCTTGAACACATCCCCTTTCTTCTCAATGGCAAAGGCCTGGAGGACACCGACCAGGCAGAGGAGGATGGTGGCTCCCAGCAGGCTTGGCCTCATTGCTCCGGGCCGGCTCTGCCCCAGCAGAACTCACCCAGCCCAGCCAGAAATGTGCTGGGAGCAACCCCCCCACCCTGGGACATCCTGGCCTCTGTGACACCCGCTCTGGAACATTCCTACCCTCAGCGGCTCTGGAGAACTGTCACCTGTGTCCCTGGACATGAGGGGGCTGTGATGGGAAAAATGGAACTGCCGCCATCTTATGGAATCACAGGGTCACAGAATGGCTTGGGTTGGACGGGACCCTAAAGATGATCTCATCCCAACCCCTCAGAGTAGAGGACGACCATCCCCTCCCTCACCCCCCGGCCACCCCTCTTTTGATGCACCCCAAGGATGCACTTGGCCTTCAGCGCTGCCAGCGCTCACTGTTGGCTCATGTCCAGCATTTCCTCCACCAAAACCCCCTAAGTCCTTCTCTGCAGGGCTGCTCTCAGCCCTTCTCCCAGTCTGTGCTGATGCCTGGGATTGCCCCAACCCAAGTGCAGCCCCCTCCACTTGGCCTTGGTGAACTTCATCAAGTTCTTGTGGTCCCACTTCTCAAGCTTTTCCAGGTCACCCTGGATGTCCCTATCCTTCTGTCGTGTCACCTGCCAGCGTGCTGAGGGTGGGCTCTACCCTCTGGTTCCTTAAAGGAAACCTGGGGCCAAGCTGATGAGGAACCTGGTCTGACTGTGAGAGTGGGGTGTGCAGAGCCAAACAGGGCCCCCTCGGGTCACTGGAGCCACCATGGCAAAGGGGCTTCGCTCCCAGCAGTGTCAGCCTGGGGGGCGGGAGTGGGACTGTCGGAGCAGCTCCGGGATAGGAGACACAGAAGTTTCCTGAACTTCCAGTCTTGGGCTATGTCACGTGCTGGAGACAGTGCTCAGTGTGCGATGATTCCTGCAAGGCACTTCAATAACCCAAGACTCCCTTGTGCATCTCCCGGGCAGCCTCTTAACCCACAGCCTCCCCTATGGCCCTGCACCCCACCCGTGGGCCCCCAAAGGCCCTCTCGGAGGGCTCTGCAACTCCTTTATGCCTTCAAAGCCCCTCTCATCGAGCCCTGCCCCCTCTCCGTGCCCTCACGGCCCCTCGTACACACATTTCAGGCACTTACAGGCTCTCACTCTCCCCCACCACACCCGGCCCCGGCTCTCTCAGATACTGCGACTCCCCTGTTCCCGCCGCCGCTTTTAAATGGGCCGCGAAGCCCCGCCCCGCGCCCTGATTGGCCCCGCTTCACCTCACAAGTCCCCATTGGCCGTGCCCCGCGGTGCCTCATGGGAGCTGCAGTCCCGCTGCCGCGTGAGGCACCATGGGAGCTGTAGTCTCACCGCTTTTTGCGCCCCCTGCCGGCGGCTCCCAGCACAGCGGTGGGCCAGAGCCCCGGGGATCCGGGAGGGTCCGGGAGGGTCCCGGGACCCCCGGGCTGGGGCTGTGGCCCTTTTGCTCGGGGCTGCGGCCGACAGCCCGGCCCCGCCACCGCCTCTACGCCTGCAGCTGGGATCAGTGCTAGGGAACAGCACCTCGACCTGCCAGGGTTTGGGGGACACACACACAACTGGGGACACACACACACACCTGGGGGACATGGACACACACGCACACCTGAGGACACACACACACACCTGGGGACGCACACACACCTGGGGACACACATACACCTTGGACACACACACACACTTGGGGACACACACACAGGCTGGGACACACACACACATCTGGGTGACATGGACACACACACCTGAGGACACACACACACACCTGAGGACACACACACACACCTGGGGACGCACACACACCTGGGGACACACATACACCTTGGACACACACACACACAGGCTGGGACACACACACACACCTGGGGGACATGGACACACACACCTGGGGACACACATACACCTTGGACACGCATACACCTAGGGGACACACACACAGGCCTGGGACACATACACACCTGGGGGACATGGACACACACACCTGGGGACACACCCATACCTGGGAGCACACACACACACCTGGGGACACACACCCCCACTCACCCACCCCTGGGGAACACCCCCACACATCGGGGGGATACTCGCCCCCACCCCCATGTCCCCAGGGCTCCCATCCTCTGACCCCACCACGGCCACTCTGGACGCAGCCGCTGGCCCTGAGCACCTGCTGTCACCTCTAATTGGGTCACATCCTGCCCATGCCGAGGCAGCGGGGACAGGCATGTGTGCCCGAGGGTCCCAGTGCCTCTGTGTGGCCTGACCGTGTCCCCCTCTCACAGTGGCAATGCTGTGTCCCCTTCATGAGGCCACCCAGCCTCTAGGGACAGGGACATGGCAGTGGTGGCACCCCCAGTGTCCCCAGTGGAGGTGGCAAAGGAGCCACAAGCACTTGGAGCCAGGGAGACCCTCCTGTCTGGGCTTGGATGAGCTATGCGGGGTCTGGGGGAGGGTGGCAGAAGGACCCCGTCCCCATGGTGGGGGACACCGCGGACACAGACAGCAGATGGGGAGAGGTCACAGCTCTGCTTTACCATGTTGTTGCCCCGGAAGGGGCAGGCTGGCAGCTTCCCCCGTCCCCCAGCGCAGCCCCCCAGCCCGGGGCCGTGTGGGCACTGCACGTCTGTACCTCAGGACCACTCTGCCAGACCCCCGGCACCGCCCCAGGGAGGGGGGGAACAGCAGGGACAGGGCACCAGGGGACAAGGGGAGGCTCAGCCGGGGGGGGGGGGTTGCAGTAGGGCAGTGCGGGAGGTCCCCCAGCCTTTTTGCCACCCGCCCAAACCCTCTGTAGCCCCAAGCCCTCAACTTAATGGGCCTCCCCAGCCACGGAGTGACTTAATGGGAAAAGGGGGGTTTGGGGCGCCGTGAAAAGCCGAGAGCACCAGGTGGGAGGGGATCCATGGGCTGGACCATGGCGGGGGGATGCTGTGGGGCTGGGTGGGAGCGAGGGAAGGCCGTGGGGGCTGTGGGGCAGCAGGGAACTGAACCATGGCCCAGGGACACTGTGGGGATGGGGATTTGGAGGGTGCCGTGGGGCTGAACCGTGGCACAGGGATGCTGTGGGGCTGGGGGTTCGGGGGGTGCTGGGGGCGATGCCATGGGGCTGGGGGGTCAGAGGGGTGCCAGGGGCGATGCCGTGGGTCCAGGCTCAGTCCGAGTAGATGATGAAGCTGGAGCAGGTACTGTACTTGTTGTTGTTGCTGCCGTGGGCTTTGCCCCCATCCAACTTGATGAACACCTCATCCCCCACATCAAGGTGCAGGATGACGCTGTTACTCGAGTAGTCGTAGTTCTGGTCGACGTTCTGCGCAATGGCGCTGGCCAGGACCTTCCCAGGGGACACCGCAGGACTGGCTCAGGGCATGCCACAGCCCATGGGGCCCACGGGACACTCTGGTCCCAGCTCACCTGCAGCCAGAGGGCTGCACCCCCCTGGATCCGCACCCATGGGTGAACAGGTCCCGCATGGGTGAGGCTGCTCCAGGCATCCCCCAGAGCCTCTCCCTGACCCGGCGGGCACAGATAAGGGACCACGGCTCTGAGTTTGGGTGGGAGACCGTGGCACAGGCATGCTGCTGTGGCACTTGGAATCAGATGCAGGACCACAGCTCTGGGTTCTGATGTGGGACCACAGCTCCAACATGGGACCCCAATCTGGGTTGGGATGCAGGACCAGACATGGGACCATTCCTCCAGACTCAGACATGGGACCATGGCACACAGACAGGACCCTAACTCAGGATTTGGATGCAGGACCCCAGCTCAGAGACAGGGCCCCAGATCCAGAGTCAGATGTGGAACCACATCTAGGACACAGGACCCCAGCTCCCAATTCAGATGTGGGATCACAGCTCCAGCATGGAACCTAGATCCAGGTTTGGATGAAGGACCCCAGCTCAGACACAGGACTCCAGCTTCGGATTTGGATGCAGGACCATGGCTCAGACACGGGGCCCCATCTTTGGATTAGGATACAGGACCGTGCCTGGGACACAGGACCCCCATCTCCCAGCCCACTGAATCCCACGCATCCCTCAGTGCTTCCCATGAGCTGAACAAGGACCACAAGCGTGTGGCAAGGGCTGAGCTCAAATCCCTCCCAGATCCCCCCCTCACATGGACCCTAACCCGCGGGATGCTCTCCCCACAGAGCTCTCCTGGGAACCGGGATGTGCTGGGAGGTACTGGCAGAGCCAGAGGAGCTGTCACCGCCTGGAGAAGCAGCTCCACGGCTGGACCCGCTGCCACTGCAGAATTCTTTGGGTAATCAAATCTCCGCCGGCGCCTCACGGAGAGATCGCGGCGCTGGGTGACAGTGACAAGGCGGCTGCTGAAATGCAGAAGTGCTGTGCTGGGAGAAGGTACCGCTAATTACAGCTGACCAGAATCAGCTCTTAATTGGCTTGTGCTGGGCGGGCAGGCACCGGGGTCCGGGAGCAGTGGGAACGGGAGGGCTGTGCCCATGGAGTCCTGTCCTTTGCCTCCAGGACAGGGGTTCCGGGGTCTGCTGCTCCTCAGGGATGCAGATGCACCGACCCAAGCCCACGGGTAGTGATGGTGTGGTCAGACGCTGTTAACTCTGGAACCTATTGATGGCCCAGCTGGGGATCCCATAGGATTTGCTCTCACCCCGCCCAGCCTCATGCCACCACCAGAACTGTCACTCTGTTCAAAGCCACCCTGTGTCTTCCCCGCCACCATGAGTGTCCCCGGGAAATCTCCATCGGTCACAGCACCACAATCTCCAGGGGACGCTGCCTCTGCCAAGGAAGAGGAGAGGAGGAAGAAGCAGGAGAAACAGGAAAAAACAGGTTTGGTGTCAGGTTCTTGCCATGGTCCCCCCTCTGTGGCAGCCAGATCCGTCCGGTGCCATCCGTCTTCCCTTGTTAAGGAGCCGCCTCATCACTGCTTGCCTGCCTGTGATAGTTTCGCTCTAGGCCTTCCTGGAGACCAGCTTGTAACCCGGAAGGAAGGTGATCACGGAAGTATTCCATGCTATTCCTTTACGTAACTTGAGGTATAAATAAAACCAGCAGAAGGGACCTTGCTCTCTTCCTTTCCGGCGAGGTTCGAGAACGGTGGGTCCCTGTCTCAGTCTTGCTTATCTGGAGCTGAGGCCTACAGTGACTGCTGTTATCTGCCACGCGTGAGGGGAGAGTGCTGAGTCATGTCCAGCCATCCTGCTTCTCTCAAGGGAACTGGTGAGATTTTGCCAATTCTTCAGTTTGCTGGTTACCGGATTTTTAGATTGTGTAGACTTGTTTTATTTTTGTCCCTTTTTGTCCTATTTTGTCCTTTTCCCTTCTCCCTCCCCCTCTTCCCTTTTAGGAAGCTATTTAGGGTTTCTGGGGTTATAGTATATAATATTCTCACAATATATATCTGTTTTATATGTAAAATATATATATTTTTGCTACAGCTTTGGCTGCTTGGTTCGTTTTTTTCTTCCCACTCTGGGAAGCAGGCCTTTCTTGTCAAGTTTTGGAGACTTGGCGGGAAGGCAGCTCGAAACTTGTACACTTCCCTAACCAGGGAAGATAAATGGCAGTGCTGGGCCCAGGCTCCCGGCACTGCGCTGGCACAGGAGGGGGGGCTTCCACCCACCCCCAATGGCCTCACCCCCCTTGTCCTGCTCCGTGCCTCAGTTCCCCCGTGGCACAGACATGGGGTGGGAGCCCCGGGGGTGACACAGCCCCAGCCCCGACTGTGCTGTGCCCACTGCCCCTGACCCCAGTGATGGCGCTGGGGGTGTCCCTGGCCCTGGGGACACTCTGGGGTGGTCTCCAAGGGGGTGGGCTGCACCCAAGGGCTTTCTGAGAGCGATGAGGGGCAGTGGGGTGCTCCCATGTCTAGGTTGAGCCACTCACGGTGACACCTGGGGCTTCGGTCACGTTGTGTGCCCCACGTGCCATGGCCACCATGGCCCAGGACCCCAAAGGTGTGGCAGCAGGTGCCCCCCAGACTCCCAAATGCAGTAGGAGGTGCTTTCGATGGAAGGGTATGGACAGATTGCTCCAGGATCAATATGATCAGGCAAATGTCAGATTTATTAGGAGAAAGACAGATTATATAGTGCTCATGACGCTCAGCTTCTTGTTCACACAACATTGGTTACATAAGGAAAACATGCTCTGCTGTCCCCTGCTAATTGGACCACAACAGGTGGTCATAGGAGATGAGAAAACTTTATTCACCTGCCAAAAACTCTTCCTTGGCATCTTGGCACAAGGCCTGCAGCCATATTAGTGGTGCAGCATTTTTTACTATCTGCACTCAGCCATGCCAAGGTGAAACACACAGAAATGTAAAGAAAATTGTTCACACAATTTTCATCCTTGTCCTAGTTAGGACAACTGAGACCAGTTCATCATGGTATGAGTGTAACCCAAAACTGTGTATTCTATAGCCTTCCATGCCATTTCCCAGAAACTGTTATCAATGAACCATTTACACCATCTGCCCATAGAGCCTGACTCCTCAGGCTATAAACTAGGTGTTAAGGGGCCTGTGAGATAGGAGGATGCTCTTGTCCTCACACCCTTTGTGGAACTCCCCACCCTGAGGGAAGTGCTGGGCATCCCTGCCTGAACTGCAGGATATATAATCTTGGAGTCTTGGAACATTTTGGAACCCCTTGTGGGATCCAGAGGAAGGCTGCATCTCATCGCTCTCAACCAGACTTAGACCATCACTGAACTGCAATCACCACTTTTTGACCAGACTGCAACAGTTCTTTCCCCAGCATCTCACTGCAATCATCACTTTTGACCAGACTGCAACCGTTCTCCCACCAGCAGGTTCTTCCCCTCTCCCTTTACTTTGGACTCAAGCGGGGCCCAAGGAACACCACTTTGTTCATGCCCCAGGGTACTGGGTTATACATTTGGGTTTTGTGGGTTAACACCAATTGTTTGTCTGTATGATTGTACTTACTGTATTATTGTAGTAAATTGTTATTCTGACTTATAATCTCTCCTTTGAGTTGAGTTCATTTCCCCTGCTGGTTAACTCTTAAACCAGCACAATCCTGTAACAAAGTGCCCCTCAGGATCCCTGGGCATGGCCCTGGGAGCCCTCCAGGACCCCCAGACATTGTGGTAGGTGCCCTCCCAGCACCCCTGGGCACAGCAGTGGGTGCCCCCCCTCAGACCCCCTTAGCCCAGCACTGGGTGCCCCCCCAGACCCCCTGGGCACGGCAGCGGGTGCCCCTCAGGGCCCTTGGGTGCAGCAGCAGGTGCCCCCCTGGCCCCCCAGGCAGGGCAATGGGTGCCCCCAGGACCGCCTGGCAGGTCCCTGTGTGCCCTTGGGGACTGTTCCCCACTGGGGTCTCCTGGGGCTGTGCCCCTCCCTGAGCCATGGACGGCCCTCACCCCACCATGGGGACCATGGGGACTCCAAAGCCACCTGGTGCCACCCCCCTGTCCATCCATCTGCCTGTTCATCCATCTCCCCCCTCCCACTGCCCCTCGCCTCAGTTACGGGCTAATACAAAAAATAAATAATGCTAATTAACCACCAGCAGCAGCTCCCCTGGCTCTCATTAACTCCAGCCCTGACACAAGGGTGATGGGCTGCCCCCAAACTGGCAGCACAAGAGGAAATTTGGGGGGGCCCCCCACGTCCTGACTCCCTCCAAAGGTGCCAGATCAACGCTTATCCGCCAGGCTCCCCCAGCTTGCCAGGGACAGGGATTTTTTGGCAATAAACCCCTAATTAACCCCATCTTTTCAATTATTTGGGGCATTTTTGGGGGGGACTTTGTCATAGATACTGGCACGGCGATGCCCTGTTAGTAATTAACAAGCGGTTAATTAAGCTGCATCACCCACCCAAGTGAGGCTCCTCTAAACAAGGGGCTCCCCAGCTCCTGGACATTTATCCAAGAACATCGATATCCCCCAGAGCTGGGGGGTGGGGAGGTTTGGGGCTGGAGGGTGGGAGAAGACAAAAAAAAATCCCAATAAAAGGAAATTTAAGCTGTTTGCATGGAGAAAAGCTGCCAAGCAGCTCCTGCTCCTGCTCGGAAGGGCTCGGAGCCAAGGGATGAAGTGCAGTGGCTGTGACAAGGCTCCTGCCTACCCCCACCCCCTGGCTGCTTTTTGAGGTGAAAACTCAGTTTTGGGTTAATTCGGGGTCCCACATCCTCGGGACAAGGAGGCACCACAGGGGGTGATGCCAAGGGAAGTGATGAGAAGTGGGAGCGGGGTGGGATGGGATGGATCCCAGCAAGGATGCCAGGCTGCGGTGACATCCAGAGAATGGAGCTCGGGTGACAGCTCGGGGGTCACAGCGTCTTGTCCCTCAAATCATGGCCAGGGGGGCGCATGAGATGGGAAAGGAGCGCCTGAAAACGCGGGGAGGCAAGACTGAGTCTTGGGGTTGGGGGGTTCAGCTGGATGGGGTCAGGGGGATGTGGGAGCGGGGAGGGGGAAGGAAGGATGTGTGTCCTCCCGGTGTCCCCACACAGCCGGCCAGGGGTGGGGACATCTCCCCTGGCACAGCAGCAGCAGAACCAGCCCTGAGCTGGGGGCGCAGCCCCGCAAAAGCGGGGCAGGCACTGCCCCCCTTGAGACCACCACAGACATTGTCCCTGCCCCCCCCCAAGGACCCCAGCGGGGACAATGGCACGGCCAGGGGGGGCAGGGCACCCCGGGGGTGCTGCGGGGGTGTCCTAAGGCACCCCAAGGCACAGCAGGGCACATCTCTAGGGCCAAGGAAAGGACTGAGGGACGCTTGGGGACATGTCAGGGTGGGTGGTGACTGTCCCCAGCGCAGAGGGGATGGGGGACAGGGATGGGGCACCCGGGGGAGCATGTTTGGGGATGGGAGGGGGATGGAGCTCTCTCTGGCGGGAACTTGGAGCACATCACTGTCCCTGGGAGAAGGATGGGGCACCCCAGGTGTGCTCCTTTGGGGCAGCGAGCAGGACAGGGCATCCCGGGGGTGCACCCAGGGCCCATCACCGGGAGAAGGATGGAACATCCTGAGGGAACATCTCTGGGGCTAGGAGAAGGATGGAGCACGCTAAGGGCTGGCAGCAGGACAGGGCACACCAGGGGTGCACCCAGAGTCCTCCATGTCCCCCGGAGAAGGACGGGGCACCCCAGGGGTTATGGATCCATGGACAGGAGAAGGATGTGGCACCCTGGAAATGCACCCAGAGCCCATCACTGCCTCCAGGAAAGGGACAGAGCATCCTGGGGTCACATCTCTGGGAAAAGGACAGGGTATTCCAGGGTGCAGCCAGAGCCCATCTTCACCCCTGGGAGAAGGATGAAGCACCCCAGGGGTGCATGTCTGTGGCTGGGAGAAGGATGTGGCCCCCCAGGGATGCACCCAGAGCCCATCATTGCCGCTGGGAGAAAGATATGATGTAGCACTAAATCTGATGAGAAACTTGTTTAAACATGTCTTAAACTGGCTCTTTGTGGTCCCTTTACAAACACGTGTTTCTTCTTCCCAACACCCCCCACAGCAACTGTTATCTCCCATGCAGGAATGTCCTGAGAAAGGTGTCCTGAGGTGTCCCATTGGTCCTTGTTAACCCCTTCCTGTGATTGGGTGTTCCTGTAAACCCCTTGAGACTTCTAATTGGTTAACCTGTGATTCTCCCTAACCCTATAAATGTGACATCCCCCAACAATAAAGTCTCTCTTGCCTCCTCTCCACGCCGGTGTGCTGTCTCTGTGCCTGCCATGGAGCCACGTGGTTGGGGGGGAGGGGAGGGCACCTCTCCCCTCCAGGCTCGGGGCCTGAAAAACCCTGTCGCTGGAGTCCCCTTTCCCCGTCCTTTCAAGACGTCGGAATGGCTCATCAGATGGAGATGGAACTAGAACTGGGCTCCCCCACGTCGTGGGTGGGGAAAGGGATCCAGAATATGACACCCTGGGGAGACATACCTGGGGCTGGGAAAAGGAGGGGGCACTCCGAGGAAGAATCCAGAGTCCTTCTCCAGTGCTTGGCGGGGGCAGTACCGCTCCTGTGCCTGCGGAGGGAGCCGGGATGGGCAGCCCTTACCTGCCCGTTCTTGCAGAGGTCTGCCCACATGCTGGTGCCGTCGCTGCCGCGCATGAGGACGTGGTAGGTGAAGTAGGTGCCGGGGATGGCGCAGGTGAACTTGCCCAGGGCAGCGTCGTAGCTGTTGCCCAGGTTGGTGACCACGTCGTCGAACTTGAGCACCTCGTAGCCCTCGTGGGGGTTCTTGAGCCCAGCGTGGAAGGCGACTCTCACCTCTGTGCTGTAGGTGGCTGCGCTCACCGCAACCGTAGTCCCCGGCCCCGGCAATCCCGACGGTCCCGGTCTTCCCGCTTCCCCCCGCGCCCCCGGTGGCTCTGGTTCTCCGGGCAGTCCCGGTTTCCCCGGTCTGCCCGGTTTTCCTTGCGGACCTTGCACCAGCGTGGAGGGCGGCGGGAGGGGGCCGCGCTCGGCGGGCTGCGGGGGGGCGGCGGGGCCGTAGGGCTCGCAGACCATCCGGCAGGTGCCCAGCATCTCGTAGTGGCCGTCGGCCCCGGCGGAGCTCACCAGCACCGGGATGAGCACCAGGAGCACCAGCACCATCACCATCCCCGCCGCGGCCGCCAGCAAAGTTTTGCGGCCCAGGCTGAGCCGCCGCCCGGCCGGGGCGCGCTGGCGCCTGGGGGACGGAATGGTGCCGGCGGGGTGGAGCAGGGCGGCGGCGGTTTCGTGACCTCCGCTGGCTCCGGTGCGCCCCGAGCCGCTCGGGACGCGCCCACCCCGACCGGGAAACGCCCACCCGGCCGTGGACACGCCCATCCATCCCCGGACACGGCCGTGATCGCTGATAACCACGCCCTGGACACGCCCCTGCCACGCCCACCCACGACTGCCGGTGCTCCGTGGGAAGGGAAACTGAGGGGGGGGGGTGGATGGACCCCAGATGCCACCCTGATGCCCCCACCTAGCGCTCGGGACCCCTCGGTCACCCTGGGCCCCTGTCCCCACGCGATGCCACCCCCAGCCCCGAGCACCCTCCAAACTGGGGGCACCCCTGGGACCCGTCACCTCACACTAACCCTAACTCTAACCCCACAAAGGGACACCCGGGGGGATGGTCCCCACGGCACAGCCAGGGCCCATCCCACCTCCCTGCCTCAGTTTCCCCTCCCTCCGCGCTCTGGAGGAGCCCCACACTTTGGGACAGCCCGAGTGACACCCACGTGGCCCGAGCATCCATCGCGGTCACCCGCGGGGTTCGGGGGCTGGGGTGTCACCGCTGGTGGCAAAGGCCACTGTGACAATGGGGCAGCCGCGGGTGCCACCGTGGGGGTGGCCGCGCCCCCCGGGGGGCTGAGCCCCGGTGGGCTCATGACATGGGGACATGCTGCTGCGCCCGCTCCGTCGCCTGCCATCTCCCTCAGCCTCGGCGGGGACAGCGGGACTCGATGGCAAGTGACAGGCGCCGCCAGCGCCGGGGGTGAGCGAAGGACGCAGGGAAGGCAGGGGGGACACGGACACACGGGCGGAGAGCAGCCCGGGGGCCACTCCCAGTGCCGCCCGCTGTGGCCTCGGGTGACAACACCGAGGTGGCATCAACCCTAATGGCACCTATGAGGTCCATGGAGTCATCGTACCCCCTCACCCCCAAAAAACAACACCGGGAGTGCATCCCCTCTTCCACTGCCACACCTGTGCAATGTCCCCAAACCCCAGGGGACACACGGGGGACAGACACCCCCCCCAAAAGAGGAGGGACCAAGGGGACGCTCGGCAGCCATCGATCGCCCCCGCGTGTCCCCGGGCTCCCGCAGAGGCTTTAATCAGCGAGCACAAATCAATTAGCTGCTTTTAAGGAGGCAATTATTCCTGGGGGCATAACGAGACGGGGGGGGCAGTATTTTGGGGTGGGTGCACTGCCGGCATCGTGTCCCCCCCTCAAAGCTGTCACCATCATGTCACCAGCTGCTTTCCTTGTTATTTTCTCCATCATTATCCTCTCTCCCCCCCTCCATCGCCCCGCTCCTCGTTATCTTTCTTTTTAACAAGCGCCTAAAAATACGCCGTGGCGAGGTCACGGGCTGCGTGAGTCACCGCCGGCGCGGGGAAGGGGTGGCCGTGGAGGGGACACGGGGGGTGGGACAGACACACTCCGCTTGTATCAGGGCACTCGTTTCACCTGGAGGGTCAGAGGACAGCCCTGGTCTTGGTCACTTCATCCTCACGGTGGGGACACAGCCCCAGGTCACCTCACTGCTGCAGGACATTGTGTGGCACGGCCACCACCCCAGGTCACCTCATCACCCTGGGCAACCCCATCCCCATGGCACGGCCACCACCCCAGGCCACCACGTCCCCAGCCCCCCTGTAGAGCTTCAGCACCACCTCGGGATGGCAGCGCCCCGTGGGTGGAGACAGCACCCCAGGCGACACCGGCTGGGGACCCTGAGGTGCTCGCTGTCCCCAACCCTTGCACAGGGAGGGGGTGCAGCGCAGCCCCCCGAGCCGGCTCCATCCACCTGGGGACAACAGAGTGGCAAAGCTCCAAAGGGCCACGTCTGGGAGCGCAGGAGCAGGGAAAGGGACAAAGCTGGGAGGTGGCAGCGGCGACTCCAGTGACTGGTGGCAGCAGTGGCCGCGATGGTGGCAGCGGTGGCAGCAGTGTCACCAGTGGTCGTGCTGGCAGCGGTGGCTGTAGTGGCTGTGGTTGTGGCTGCAATGGTGGCAGCACCTGCTGCGGCGGTGGCAGCAGTGGCTGTGGTGGTTGTGGGAGCAGCAGTGACAGCGGTGGCTACAGCAGTGGCTGTGGTGACAGTGACTGTGGTGACAGTGGCTGTGGTGTCAGCGGCTGCAGCAGTGGCTGTGGTGACAGTGGCTGTGGTGACAGGGGCTGCAGTAGTGGCTTCGGCGGCCCCGGCTGCAGCAGTGGCTGTGGTGACAGTGGTTGTGGTGACAGGGGCTGCAGTAGTGGCTTCGGCGGCCCCGCTCGCCGCCGCCGCTCCTCTGCAAAGGAGCTCCCGCACAATCGATCCCGGCTGTTTGCTTTGGCAGAGCGGAGCGCGGGCGGGGGGCGCTGCCGAGCGGACGCCGACAGCAGAGGGGGAACAGTCGGTGCTCCGGGAGCGCGGGTTTGGCCGGGGGGTGGCTATACCTGCTGCTCTCTGACGGGCTCCTGAAGGAGGATTTGGGGAAGGGCGAGGGCAGCCGGGCCTGGGCAGGGGGTTTGTGGGGCTGGGGCTGGGCTGTGCCTCAGTTTCCCCTCTCACTCTTCCCACAGGACCACGAGTGGCCAGGGGCACAGGGACATTGTGCCCTCCACACCCACCCAGCCCCGCAGCTGGGGGTCAGCCTGGGTAGGCTCAGCCCAGGGGTGGCTGTAATTACCTGGGCTCAGCTGTAATTAGCACTCGGAGCTGGACACAACATACGACCCTGATGTCAGCCTGGGGAGGGAGTAGCCATTCACAAACTGCCCCCAAAACCCTTGTGTGTCCCCAGGGTGGGGTCTGAAGGGGCCATGGGAGGGGAACACACAGGTGTGGACAGGAATGGCGGTGTCAGGTCCTTGGGCAGGACCCCCAGGGCAATGGGAGCCTCTGTCCAGACCGTCCCCTGGCCTCAAGAGAGGACACCAGCCACCCCAGCCACCAACGTCCAGGCCTGTGTCACCTCCATCCCTAAGAAATGCCACCCCAACCACCTTGTTAGGAGGCAGAGGTTATTAAGAAGAGGAATGAAGAAGTTTTCCAGGCTGCAGAAGCCCGGGGAGATGCAACACCAGCACGGGTCAACATGGGAGCAAGGGAAGACCCCACGAACCAGTCCCGAGGTGGTGACCCTGGAGTTAACCAGGGGGCTGCCTGGCTAGCCACAGGGCTGGCTGTCTGGTTGGCCAGGTTGGTGACTGGCCAGCTGCTTGGCTGGTGGGTTGGCCAAGTGGCTGGTGGGCTTAAAGGCCAACTAGGTGGCTGTTTGGTGATCTGGGTGGTTGGTAGCCAAATGGCTCACTGGCAGTGGGGTGGTTGGTTGGGCTGGGTGATAGATGGCCATGGGGTGGGCTGGCTGGCTGGTGGGTTGGTTGGCTCATTGGCCAGCTGATTGCCCGTCTGGCTTGTTGGCTAGTTGGCTGGCTGGCCAGTTGACCAACAGGCTGTTTGGCTGGCTGGCCAGTAGAGCACCGGGCCGGTTGCCTGTCCAGCTGTCTGTCTGTCTGTCTGGCCAGTTGCCCAGTTGGCTGGTGGCCAGGGGCTGGCTAGCAGGCCAGACAGCCATGTCAGCCCTGGCCCCGGGGACAGCGACGTCCAACGCCGGGCACTGTCCCTCGCCCAACAGAGGAGCCCGGCTGCAGGCGAGGGTGGGGCAAGGTGTGGGTGGTACATCCTCCCATCCCTGTCCCTGTCACGTTGCCGCTCATTACGGACACGGCGGGGCCCGTCACCCTCCTGCCGCGCGGCAATTAAGGGCTGCCAACACCAGCAGTTAATTAGCGCCGGCGGTGAGTGCTGCCATGTGACGGCTGAGCGGCTGGCGAGGGGACGGGCTGGGGACGTGTCCCCCCGGGGGCACGAGGGGTGGGAGTAGCGGGGACTTGGGCTGACGGCACCAGCTGTGCTGTTCCCGGGGCGCCCCACGGGCGGCGTGACGTTGCAGGGGGTGCGCAGTGACAGCGGGGGACAGCGATGGGACGTGCAGGGGTGGCACTGGGGAGTGTCCTGCGCGGTGACAGTGTGTGACACCCCAGGCCGTGCAGTGACGGTGACAGTGGGTGACACCCCGTAGGCCACCCGATGACATGGCACTATGTGACAGCCCCTGCATCAGGCACTGACGGTGACTCTGTGTGACAACCCCACGGGAGCTGCAGTGACACTGCATGGCACCCGGTGGCCTCGCGGTGACAAACTGATTCAAAGAAACCTCTGCCAATCTGAAAAGCACTTTTATTACGGCCGGGGAATGCAAAGGGGCAGGTGTTCTCCCCAGTGCACTCCGCTGAGCCAAGAAATACCATAGCTTTTTATACAGTTTGAAAGTAGCAAGTTTAAAATTATCTTTACACACACTCTTTTGCAGTCTGCCTTATCTAAATAGACATTTAGTTTTACCTCCTATTCTTACCATTATAGAGTAGTTACATAAAGTTTTATCATTTCAAGCAGTTTCAGGTTCCCCACCCCTCTCTACGTGCTAAAAAGCCTTCCCTATTCTCTAAGCTATTTTATCTCAATTGCCCACAGTTTGGGCAGAAACCTTTAAGCAGTTTTACATTTTGCAAAGTCACACTTACATCGCTAAATAGCTAAATTTTATTTCATTTTCTATTTCACGGTGACACCCTGTGCACTGCGCGGTGACAGTGACACCATGTGACACCCCAGGGAGCAACAGTGAAGCTGTGCAGCACCGCGGAGCTGTGCTGTGTGACACGAGTGGGGCTGTGCAGCCACGGTGACACTGTGTGACACCCCAGGGAGGTGTGCAGTGACAGCGACAGGGACCGTGCAGGGACGGTGACACTGTGCTAACACCATGCAGTGACAGTGACACCCGTGACAACAGGCACCGTGCAGTGACACTGGTGACACCAGTGCCAGGCAGTGACA